GATGCCCAGTTAGTTCCCAAGCAGCGATCCGCCCCTCCCAGCCAATTCCCCCCAACTGATGTACTTGGCATGATGTCATATAGTATGGAATATTCCTTTGGGCAGTTGGGGTCAGCTGTCCTGGCTGTGTCCCCTCCCAACTTCTTTTGCCCCTCCAGCCTCGTCGCTGGCTGGGTGTGAGAAGCTGAAAAATCCTTGACTTGCTATGAACGCTACTTAGCAACAACTAAAAACATCCGTGTGTTATCAACATTGTTGTCATACTAAATCCAAAACACAGCACTGTGCCAGCTACTAGGAAGAAAGTTAACTCTATCCCAGCCAAAACCAGGACACTACCTTATGAGAAGTTTTAGATTTGTTAACCTAGTAATTTGTTGCCTTTGCATAGGTTAAAAAAAAACCACAAACAAACCCAAGAAATGAAATGGTAAAAAAGAAAATTAAAGTCTACTGAATCTTTTTAAACTAGATAATAGACTCTAGAATTCACCATTAGTCTCTGTGCTTATGTTATCTTTGTCTTTACAGAGCATCCGTATTATAACTGTGCTCTTTCACCCGCACTGAGCTAAATATATAGTCCTGTGGAAGTTCAGTGAAGGCAGAAAAGTATAATTCACTGTGAATAAAGGGTAAAAAAATTGACCCTAAATGAGTTACTGTATCATGTAAACATTTTCTGCATAGGAGTAAAATGTATGTATGAAAGATCTGCTGTGTATAAATTTGAGAGCAAGGGTCAAATCTTCCATAAATCAGAAAACTTCTACTACGTTTTTTCTGCTTTTCCCTTTTTTGTTCAAGTAGACTAATACACTTCAGAAGGAAAAATGAATTCTTAATTAAAATAGGCTGTAGACTATTTGGACTAGAGGTCTTGGTCGAAGTTTTATTTAACGCTGTTTTTCAATTATAGTAGCTCCACTTATATCTATGTAGTGTTTGTACTATGATACAGGAGACTCAACTTGAGTCTTTTACCTTTTAGAATGGTGTTAATTTTTGGTTGTATTAAAGAGTAAATACCATTGCATATAATACAAGTAGGAGTTTGGTATTTTGATGGCAAAGTATTCCTTGGGAGTGTAATAGTCAAAGAAAACTATTACTTTTATGTACTCAGTGTCTCTGGCTATACAAGTAAGAATTTTGGAAATCAGACCTTGATAAAGCAGCGTTTAACTCTTATTATTCCATCTAAGGCCTCAGGTAATTCCATATAAACATCTGGCACAGAAGTACTACGTGCTTTCATATATGGCAAGGGTATGACATCTGCCAGCATTGTTTCTACTTGTTCAGTCATTGTCAGCAGCTCATCTCTTTCAGGAACACTGAATTCGCTGACATTTTAAGGATAAAATTAGGACATATGATATTTTTCATGCTATTGTTTATATTTGTTCCTGAATTGCGATCCAGGTTTAGAATTTTTTTGTATCAATATAGTACAGGTGATCGAAACTTTTCCAAAAAGAAAAAGTCAAAAATTAGAGAGGACAAGATACAGTTACAAGCAAAAATGGTATACATCTTGTTTGGTCAGTTAGTTGTATCACTTCTCTAAAACACTTCAAGCAAATTAATGAGTTTAATTCTAGTGCAAAAAATGTAGCCTAAGGTTGAGAAATTTATTTGTGTTGATAGGGTAAGAGGAGAATCAATGCCTGAAGGTATTAATTAAAGAAATACAAGGGAAAAAATTTGGTGAGAATAGTTTACAATATCAGTCTGTACAACATAAAATTTGTTGAAGAGAGGAGGGCAGTAGGAGAGGCTAACTGGCTAATACAACAAACCAACAAAAACTGTGGAAGAAACTGGGAGCCCAGCCCTGGACCCAGCCCTCCAGGTGTGGCCGCACCAGTGCTGGGTTAGAGGGGCCGGATCCCTTCCCTTGACCTGCTGGCGAAGCCCCTTCTCACGGGGCGCAGGGCGCCAGGAGCCTTCCTTGCAGTGAGGGTGCGTTGCTGGCTTATGCTCAACTTGCAGTCCACCAAGAACCCCAGGTCCTTTTCTGCAAAAGCTTTTGATATACATTTCTCTTTCATTCACGTTTATTCCTGATACCAGTGGGAAAAGCAAAGGGCACAAGCTCTGGGATTCATTTCACCTCAATTTGTTTTGTCTTTATTGTCATCTAATTGTATCACCCAAGGTACGCTATCATAACTAATGGTAAAGAATTGGCATTTTGGGGTGCAAATTCTCTGACCTTTTTTGACAGCTACTTTAGGATTAGATGGGTCACATTTAAAAAAAAAAAATTAAAAAAATCTTTTTTATCCATAAATAAAGACAGTACATTTCACTTGTATGTATATGATAACATTTTAGACATCGATCAGCATTAGGTCTGATGAATCCAAACCAGTATTTATTAGTTTGTTTTTCTGCTTTTTTAAAATTTTTTTCTGATAGGTCCGTTCCAGAGTAGAAGTGTGAATCAGAACAAGGTTCTGATATATTTCAGCTTTTGGAGAAACAGATCAGCTGTTGTCGCTTGTGTTTATGTGACAATATACTTCCTACAGATTGTGTTGCATATTGTCCTGTTGTGTTTTGATATAAAATGCATTTTATTTATTTATTTTTACAGGCTAAATTCCATTGATGTTAAGTATCAGATGTGGAAATTAGGAGTTGTTTTCACTGATAATGTAAGTTTATCAGTATGTATACACACATATATATGTATATATCCACCCTTATGTTACTTGGTAACCTAAAGTGCTTCAAAGGAAGGTATGAAATACTCTGAATTATATTTCATTTACTACATAGATGAAGAAAATCTCAGAAGCTTAAAAAGGCATCGCCAAAATCTTTTCCCAGTTACATAAATATTAGTCTATAGAACTTCAGTCAATTCCTGCCCCCCCTTCTGATATCCTTTATTCAGGAGCAATAAGCAAGCACTGCATTGCAGAATTAGAAAACTGACTATAGAAATTCTAATTGCCATTTTTCATATTGTTCATAAACTTTATGAACACTTGAATATTCCTCGAGCACAGTCAGATCAGTATAGTTAATGCTTGTGGAATTGCTAAAATTTGTATCACTGAAACTGGTAGTAGAATGTGATACAGAATGAGACTGATGATTTTAATCATTTGAAAAAATGAGTTTTAAAAACAAAAAACAAGGAACTATAAACAACTACCTTGCAGTTTGGGTAGTCAGTCATCACATGATTATTAAGAGTCTTACTATTACTGCTTGCCTAACTCAGCTTATTTTACTGGTAAAAAAAACTGTTGAGGAACAAATGATTTTGGAACTAGGACTGCTGGAGGCTGAAAGTGTCATCTGACTTTACTCAGGAAGAGTGGAATGATGAGTCTCCAGGTCTACAGACAGCACGATCCGTAAAGAGATAGAGTTTGTTCAGGATTAGGTTTTTTCTAACAGAGGGACTGTAATTTCTCTTATAAATATATACTTGTCTTTAAGTCCAGTAAAAATTAAGTGATAGGGGAAAAGATGAAATTAACATTTGTAGTAATAGTTAGTAAACTACTTAAATAATACATATATGTTTAAGTAGTAGTTTTAGTAGTTTGAATTAATTATAAAATTCCTTTTGTTGCTTGCAGAGTGCTTTCATTTGTCATTAACCACCTTAGGGCTTTAATGGTTTAATGTAATTTTTTTAAAATTCATAAACAGTTTAGAATTTCATAAATCAGAAAAACTTTTCACATTAGAAACAGTAACAAATAAGAGTTTAGCAATTTCAAAATTAAAATTCAGAATAAGTCAATTTTGACCATGTCTTGTGGACGTTGTATTTGCTGATTTAATATTTTTGCACAAAAAGAAAATTCTCAAAGACCTCTAGCAAATGCTATGTTAAAAAAAAATTATTTTCTATTTACAGAAAAGCACATTCAAGCAATTTCTACCTTTCCTTAGTGTTTTGAATTAAGTTAAAGATAATTGCCGTGAATTTTACTGTATAATGTACTTGTTTTTTCTCTTAGTCTTTCCTTTACCTAGCATGGTACATGACCATGTCAGTCCTTGGCCATTACAACAATTTTTTCTTTGCTGCTCATCTCCTTGACATTGCAATGGGATTCAAGACATTACGAACTATCCTGTCATCAGTGACCCACAATGGCAAACAGGTATCAACTGTCATCTCTTTTCAGCTTTTTTACTTAAGGAGTATACAGGAAAGATCACTTCATGACTTAATTCAGCTGCTCTGCAGATTGGCAACAGAATTGTTCTTTCATCATGAAGTTTAGAACTTGGGTCAGTGGGAAAACTAACCAATGGGATTTATCAGCATAAGAAAACAGGACTAGGATTTGTGACAGTCTGTAGCTGTTATGAGCAACTGTGCCATAAAGTTGCCGTTTAAAATATTTTTAAGATTCATCTAAAGAAAGGTCCAGTTGAGACCCAGTTACTCTTTCTGTTAGAGGACTGTTTGAGAAAATCAGTTCTTTGATGATAAGAAATCTTTTCTTAAAGAAACTGTAAAATCTGAAATTGCATTTCTAATTTAAGTAAAGAGAATAACTAAGGCTTTTCATCTACTGAGATCTTTTGTAGGAATAGCATTTAATGGAACCCGAGACTTAGTGTTCCTCAAGACTGATGGCCTTCCTAGTTCAAAGGACCTTTGTAAACAATTTTTAATGACTAAAAAAAGCCATCCTTGGTCTGCTTAGAAGATATTCCAGCAAGGCAGCTAATACAATTCTTAGTCAAGTGGGCTGGGAATGGTAACATAAAGGTTGACTCTGTTGTGTATACTTATTTGCTGTTGTAGTAAGATGGAACTTCAGTTCTGGCTTTATACAATGTAGGTGCTTTAGAAGCCTGGTGGCAAGTGCCATTTCAAAATTTATCAGTAGCAAGTTATTTTCCAGGGTTTTTTTGTTTTTATTCTCTTTTGTTTTAAGCAAGTTTGATACTAGAGAAACATAAAATTATTAGCAGTGATTTTTTATAAATGCAAAGGGTGATTGATTTAATTTAATTCTGCCTTCAAATGCACTGGCATTGTCAACATTGTTTAAGAAATAATACACATTTAAATAGACATGGTTTATATTTCAGAATAACTAGTGAAGCACATGACATATAGAAGACTCTTAAGTATGAACTCACCTTGAGAAACTGTTACTTGTTTTAATTTATGTGGCAAACTTAAGTTTCACTTGTGGAACAAAAATTGTGTCTTGAAAAGTTTCAGAAATCAACATACTGCATTCTTTGCCCTTTACAGGGCAGAATTTCTTAAACTCTTAATTGTGATTTCTTAAAAGAACAAAAAAGCAAAAAAATCAGTCTACTGCTGAAAAAAGTGAATTATTCTACCTTTTAAAAACAGTCCTGAAGTTTCAACAAATTACTTGTGAAATAAATCATTATTTATGATAAGGAATTTTTTAGGTCTGGCAGCTGTGCAAGTGAATTTCAATCAATTTACAGGAGATTGCAGTTCACTTCCAGCTGCTTTCCATAAAGCTCAAGGCAAAATTTTAATGATGCTGCAGTTGAGCAGTGGGGTATTTGTTGCTGCTTCTCTGAGGTAGATATTAAAATACTAGGAACAGTTTGTTTTATATGTGAATTCATAAATATAAACAAAATTGTTTCAGTGTTAAATTAGCAGAAATACTGTACTGCAATTATATAATAGGTGATATGAAACAGTAGTACTATTATTATTATTTGGTAGTAAACTTTTGGATATTTTTGTCCGATTGTGCTGGTTTTATATGATTCTAATGGATTGTTTGCTTGCATATGTATCCATTAGATTTTGCAAGATTTGTCTTTGTAATTGTATTTCTGAAGCGTAGTTTTCCTTCAAAACAGAACAGGTGAAATGCACAATCTTTGCATGAAAATATGCAGATATATTACCAAATATTACAGAGATACGCAAAGAGAGAAAAAGTAAGGAATGTTTTCCTCCTTCTAGAACATATAGGTTATTGGTACTTTCCTTCTCTTTTAGCAAAGACAATTGTGTAGCATGATTCCATGGTGGTGTTACATCCACTCTATAATTTTGCCTTCCAGCTTGTCCTGACAGTGGGATTACTGGCAGTAGTGGTATACTTGTATACAGTAGTGGCGTTCAACTTTTTCCGCAAATTCTACAACAAGAGTGAAGATGGTGATATGCCAGACATGAAATGTGATGATATGCTAACAGTAAGTCTTATTTTGCTTTCTGGATTTTTTTCTTAGGCTGTTATGTTTTTGTCCTGACCTTCTTGTAATTCCTATTCATACAGTCAGCATTACAGCCCTATATATTAGCCAGGAACAGGAAAGACTATAATTGAAGGCAAAGGAACAAATATAATGAATATTCCTAACAACTAGATACACCCTGTGTATGTAAAACAAACACATCTATAAATGACTAGAAGAAAAGTGATGGTATTCTTTGCTGTAGTTTCTTAAAAAATTAAAAACAACTACAAGCTGTAATGCTGAGCCGAGTCAGGTAAAGGGCAGTCCTTCTGAATCCTGAAGTTCTGCAGGCCACTCTGGAGGAGGGTTCGTTGTAGGCAAGGACTCTCATAGGTAATTCAGGTACTGAAATGCTTGTTTAAGCTCAGAAATCCATCGTTTCCTTTAACATGAATTGCTGTGATTATCTTCGACTGGCAATTCTATTACTGAAATCTCTCCTGTGCTCAGAACCACTGAAATTATTTTGTATCTAGTGAGACAGTGCCAGGCTTTGCAGCTGTGGATGGTAGGTAGAGCTTAAATCACGAAGAATTTCTGAGATGTGTTGCTGTTAACATCCTTCTAAAAGCAATCACGTACAACAAAATTAAATATATTTCAGTCTGTTATGCAATATGAATCACTTCCAGGAAACTGACACCATTTAAAAGCCCAATAATTAGATTAACTGTGGAAGCAGAGTAGTATGTCTGTATTTGTGTCTGGTTTGGGACATCCAGTACAGGAAAGACACAGATAAACTAGAGCATAAATCAGTGGAGGGCCGATAAATTGTCAGGTGCTGGAGCACTTGCCCTGGGAGGAGAGTCTGGGGGAACTGGCCTTGTTTGTTTGGCCTGGACAAGAGAAAGCTTTGGGGTGGGGGGAGTGTAAGAGCAGCAAGAAACTGCCTGCAGAGAGGTTACTGGGGGTTACTGGGAAGGCAAATCCAGGCTCTTTACAGCAGTGCATGGCAGAAGACCATGGACATAACGTGGAAAGAGGAGGAGAGCCCAACAGTGGATCGGGTTGTGCAGTCTCCATCTTTAGGTGGTTGTAATGGTCTGTCTGGGTAATGCCCAGAGCAACTTTGTCTGCTTGGAGCAGGATTTGGACCGGAGACCTCCCAAAGTCCCTTCTGACCTGGCCTGCTCTGTAATTCTCTGAAAATACAAAAGGAGTATAATATTGTACAGGAATGAGTTAGAATAACATGTGATATCCTATAAAATTAGGGTTGTCTTTTGTAAAAGCAGTAAGAGTTGCAGTGTAACGTTAAGAAAAAAAAAAAAAAAAAAAAGAAAAAATTACAGAGAATGTATTTTTATTTTTAGAAATAGAAAAATAACTTTTAAAACTTTTTAGATAACTAACACTACATTTGCTCATTAGGTTAATGATTGATTAAGTCAATGGTGAAATAAAAACTATGTCTAAAAATTATTATAATTTTCAGCCATTGGTCACTCAGCATTGTATGTTACTGTATCAATTTCTCACATAAGGGATTTTTGGGGGCAAGTGTAGCATAGAAATAAAAGAATGAAATTTTTGTATGGTTAGGTTTTAGGAGTTAGTTATTGTAACCACTGCTTTTTGATACGGAGTGAAAACCCTGGACTTGTAGTTTGCAAAGCTACTTAAAGAAAAAGGACCAATCCCCTGCTCCAGACCTCTAAGAGTGCTATCATAATTTTCTATTAAATTATAGCATTATAAACTGGAAATTTTGCATTGTCATCATCCCACATAACATACCCAGAGACCTATTATACCGCTTTTCAGATCATAGTTTCACAGTATGAGTCTCAGACTTTTTCCATCATTAGCCTGCCCTTTGCGCAAGCATTCTCAAAGGTTTTTTGTTTGGTTTGTTTTGTTTTTCTAATTTTTGTTTGAAACAGCAAAGATGGGAAAGTTATTCACTTTTGAGCTTGGAAAATGGTATCTCCTATTTGCACCTTACTGAAACGATTGTACAGGAGCCATGGTACTCTGCTGGGCTTAAAGTTGATTGAATCTTTGATCTTTTTGAACTGCTACATAATGACAGAGCTTGAAATACTGCAGCTTCAGCTGTGCAGCAGCATTTCACCTCCCTCAGAAATGTACACAACCTCAAAGGGGAGAAGAAGATGACTTCAGATAGCATAGTTGCTAGACCATAGACCAGTTCTGCCAATTACTGAATTTACAACAATGGGTATTTTTACTTTTAGCTGCAAGCAGAATTTGTATCATCCCTTTGTTTTATGTTTTTTAGTGCTACATGTTTCACATGTACGTTGGAGTCCGTGCAGGTGGAGGCATTGGTGATGAAATAGAGGATCCAGCAGGAGATGAATATGAAATCTATCGGATTATCTTTGATATCACTTTCTTCTTCTTTGTGATTGTCATCCTGCTTGCAATTATTCAAGGTATATGTTTATAACCCGTGGTGAGACTGAAAATGGTTTTTAGCAGTACGAAGATCTTAGGGCTACGGTAATCACACGCCTAAGATTCAACCAGGACACCAGGGCAGGTCATGAAGCACAGATGTATATAGTAAATCACACCCAGCGGGCTTTTATCGGTACACCGTTCTTCCTAGTCTCTGTAAAATCAACAGGCTCTAACTGGATCAGTGGAAACAAAAAAAAAGCTCTTTGCTGTGAGAATACTGGTGTCACTACAGTTTCTGTCACCTCATTGCCCTTTCTAAAAGCCTCCTGTAACTGATCAGCAAGAGAAATGATTAGAAATCTTGTGGCATACCTTAAATTTATTTTTCGGCATAACCCACCCTTTGTGAGCTTATGTGGACAGAATCAGTAGTGGGTGCTGTCATTATTCCCCGTGCCAGCATCTAATGTTCTTGACTGTCTGGCAGCTCTTCAGATTGGTGGTAGTGGTGTGAAAACTGGAACATAGCTTTGAGAGGTTTAATTTTTTCTTACATAAAAACCTCTGTTTTGTGTGATGCCTGCTTACTTGAACGATGTCAAAGAGTAAAGAAAGGTGCTTGGTATGAAACAGGTTTAGTATATCTGGGTTAATGACAATGGTAAGTCGGCTGCCCATCAGGTTAGCTTCTAAATTTGAGTGGAAATCATTTGACTGATAGTGTGGCTTGCTGTTGTAATCTGGGTAGTGGATTCTGAATTTTGGGAAGTCAGGTTTTTTTCTATTATGTTTGTATTAATAACATTTAATGTTATTACCTGAAGTACTTAAAAGCCCCATCTGTTTACATATTATACCTTCAAAAGATTGTAAAGAATGCACAAAAGATCATTTATTAAATATTGCACAAATTAACAGAAGTATATTCTTGATTTTGGAAAAATGTGTAACAGTTGGCAGATGATTTTGACAGCAGTAAGGATGCTTTCTCATTTCCTACAAGGAAGTTCAGAAAGTGACTCTGAGCTTGTGGTAAATTGTTTATAACTCTTACTCAAGTAATAAGTTTTTTTAAAGGACCTGGGGAGGCAGCAAAACTTTTTATAGCCTGAAGTGCAATATCTCGTACTGTCTGTTTCTTCGTTTTGTGAGTGGCTGAAGAGCAGATGCCTTAGCTGTCATGCTTTGAGTATAATTCTCTTCTGGTATTCATCAGTTTTAGAGCACAGTAGTGTCAATAACGATTGTGGAGTTAGTCCGTGTTTGTGTTGGTGTAAGCAAAGGGAGAATCATAAAGAATTTATAATCTCGGCCACAGAGCCTGTGGTGGTTTTTCTTCTTCTTTCTGTATCTCCCTGAAATGACCCCTTACTTCTGTAGAGCTCCGACAGTGGAACCTCATACTACATGACAACCATAATGACAGAGGATGCGCAGAGCTCTGGGCCTGTCTGCATCTGCCATGTAATAAATCCCTGAACTCTGTTAAACTTACAGTAGCATTCGTTCTACAGTAAAGCCTCCGTCACTGTAAAACCACATATGTTTTCATGTACCAAATCAAGAGAAGAGCACTGTGAATAAAACAGGAGTCTGCTTTTCCCATTTTATAATCCCAAACAGTACTGCCAGCCATGTTACTGGTAGCCATTTTCTTTGACTTGCTCATTTTCCTTCACATATTGAGTTGTTTTTGTAGTCTTTAGAATATATATTGGCTTCTATTATTTCTGCCCAAGATTCTCATTTAATATTCTTTGACAGAGTTATCCCTGGATTTCCAAATATTCTTTATCACAGTTCTGTTCTTGAACATTAACTATCATTTTAACTTAAACCCTAGGTTTAATTATTGATGCTTTCGGTGAGTTAAGAGATCAGCAAGAGCAAGTTAAGGAAGACATGGAGGTAAGAACATCCGATTGCTGAACCATACTCTGTTTTCAGGTTTCATGACTACCTATTTTCAAGCAAAATGTGATCTAGCTAGTAGATAGTTTTTTAAACTAAGAGGAAAATACAGTTCTGTACACGGTCCAATATCATACAATGTCCTGGATGAGATTCTACTCTCACTTCTCAGTTCATTAGACGGAAATAATAACTGAGGGTTTTTTTAATTTACTTTTTTGTATCTATTAAAATATAAGAACTTAGCTAAGGAGTTCTGTTAGTACCCAATAAAATTATTTTTAGAAAATTATATGAAGAGAAAACTGCTAGCATCCAGGTTCTGAACAGCATTTACCACTCTTTGCAGCCTCTTGTGAAAGAGATATGTGATGCTTTGACAGGGGCTAGCTGCTACCTTGCATGTCTCTTTGCATGGGACACAAACCCAGGTTGTCTAAACTGATATTCTGCACTAAGCATATTTTAGATTTGTTTGCCAACTCCTAGTATAGATTTTTTTAATGCCTCCAGATCAAGTGTGGCCAGTTTTTTGCTGTCAGTGATAAGTTAACAAAAATTCAGACAGAAAGCCTAACAGTTTGTTTTCTCATGACTTTTTAAAGTTTAGACTAATCCCTGTATCTTCATTTTTGTAAAGAAGAAAAATCTTTGTACATATTATAATGAATTACATGTCTGTGACTATTTAAGTCCTTTGGATCTTCAGACTAGAGGTTTCTAACACAGGGCGTTAACACTGTCATGTTACAGTTCATCTCAGGTGTAATTTTCTTTGGTTAATCTATGTGTGAAAGTATCCTGTACTTGGTGAGTTTCTATTCTGTTGTTTTAAGTTTGACTATAAGAACTCAGAATAAGTGTTGCAACCTACTGTGTTTTGTAACCTAAATTTTGAGCATATTCAATTTCAGCTGGACAAGCACAACAGGCATTGAGGTAAATAGTGCCATGTCTTACAGTGAGTGCTACTTACAGTGCTAAAGGAAAAAAAAAAATCAACTTTGACCATTATATGCCATTATTTCTCCTGATACCTGTTCATTTATAGCTGGTAAAGATTTTTATTTTTTTTTTAACAGTAAGAAGCTGTTCTGAGGGCAGTTAAACTTCTATTCAAGTGTTTTGACTGAGGTATCCAGTCCCAATCATTAAAAGAAAAACCTTTTTGTTCAGCACATATTATACGTGATGCATTGCCATTTTCAAGAAAATTGTTACATTTTTATTGGCCTTTTCTCAAAGCGGGGCAGGGTTATATATAGTGTTGAAGTGCTCTGTGTTCTTTCTTTTAGACAAAGTGCTTTATCTGTGGAATAGGAAATGACTACTTTGATACAGTGCCCCATGGCTTTGAAACACACACACTACAGGAGCACAACTTGGCCAATTATTTGTGAGTACAGTAAAAATGAACTCCTCGCTAACTCATGACCCTTGCAGCCTCTGCAAGTACCTGATTAGCTCTCTTGCATAAGTAAGAGAGTACTGCTTGGCTTTGATGTGCACTCATGCTGTCTGAATGTATAATTCTGTGGTGACGGGAGCAAGGAATGAACAAACTTCATTACCTTGTTTCCAGCTTGGTTGTGACATACCGGGTTTGTGTGAACTAGAAGATGGAAACTTAGTATGTGGCTGTGGAGGCATTGTAAAATTGAATGTGTTGTGTAAGGTACAGAGGAACAGAATGACCTGGCCTGGAGACTGATGGAGAGAGTGCACAAGCAAAGGAGTAAGGCAAAAGGGGGAAGACTTTCATTGGACAAAATATTTTGAGTGGAGTGCTGAGGCTGACTCAGAGAACCCAGGATAAAGGGATGAGGAGCCTGAGAAGGGAGGGATCAGACCATGGGTCCACCTTGGGAAAATCCAAGCAGAACATCAGTGACCACTAAACTTGGTCTTTTCACATCTGGAAATAAAACCATATATCAGATCCACAATCATTGTATCATACTGTTCCTCTCCTGTCAAATACATATGAACATTACATTACTAAAATACATTACTACACAAATAACATACTATAACATACTTACTGTAAGTGTATCTTCCTAAAGAGATGGGGTTTGATATTTTGTTCGTCATCATATTTTATATTTTTACATAAGTTTGGAGAGAATGTCTATTCTGAGTGAAATTTTGAAATCATCACCTAGTTTCTGTCAGATGTCTCAAAACCCCAAGATTAATATATTTTTAAATATATTTTATATTTTTAAAGTTCTTTTCTGCTCATGTTGATCTTGAGTTACATACACTAGTAAAATATCCCCAACCTATAATTTCAGTAAGAGAAGTCTCTTAACGATCTTCAGCATTTTTTATTTGGAGAGAGGGAAAAAAAGTTCCAATGACTATTCTCTGTCTACTTCCAAGTTGGTGTTCATAAGCAAGAAAATGTCTATTATAATTTTCAGATTAGAAAGCCTAGAAAATCTTCATTTAAACTGAGTTGTTATTTACTCTAAATGAAACTGAATCTCTTGCATTTTAGCATACTGTTCATTGAACAATAAGTGAACATCAACAGTGTCAGTAAAGTATACTTAATGTATCTGGGAATATTATCATAAATACAACTCTGGAACTTGTAAGTCCATGAGCAGCATTATCACTGTACATGCTGAAAAATATCAGTCCCTCTGTGGGTTGCCTTATGTTTCCAAGTATTGTGTTCGTAACAGCTGTTTCTTTGCTTGTAGGTTTTTTCTGATGTATCTTATTAACAAAGATGAAACAGAGCATACAGGACAGGTAGGTTGAACAGCTCTATGAATGTCAACAGTTATTAAATAAGACTGATTCTAAAATAAAAATCATTCAGGCTTGGCAAAACTAAGAGTATTCTAATGAATAGCTCCCTATATGATATGTAATGTAATTCTCATTCTTCTAAACAATTCTTAGGATGATTGCTTAACATTAGATTGAATGTCAATTCTGTAGCTTTGTGTTGCTATTTTGTTATCTGACCTGTTATTCTTAAATGGTTACTTCCAAAAAATATAATGACAAACTACAAACAAAAATGAGAAACAGAACATTTAAGCAACCTGTGAAAGCAGCACTCTTTGTTTCTCACTGTTGTTTCTTTTTTAGTCTTTGTCCTTTATTATTATCTATATATAATCTTCTGTGTCTATATTCCTGGATAAGTCCATATGAAAGGGCTTGTGCATATATTTAAAATGAAACCTGTGGGAGAAGTTTTCTCTGGAGATTTCTTCTTTGCTGCTGTTCTTTCAAACTTCTGGTGCTTCCTTTGACTTCCTTTAAGTATAGATCAAAAGTTAGTATAAAAAATATCAAATTTACCGACTACTGTTTTTTTCTAGTGATAGTCTTACAGCTGACTAAGCAAATGTTCCCATGTTGCAGATCAAAATCCAAAAAAACCTGAACGGTGTCATATACCTAGCTCTACAGAATTGGGTCAGAGGGATGATTTGCTATAAATCTGTGTAGATTACTCTTTCTGAACTCTGATGTATGTACTGGGCCATTATAATCATCTTCTTTGCATAAATCTTCTCAGCCTTGTCCAGTATCAGATTTTATGTATTTACCTTGCTGTTTTTGAACATCCATTTGTCATTTGAGAATTTCAGATTAAATTAGATTTTTTGAAAAGTCTTTTTTATTTACATTTTCTTTTGGCATACAGTGTGTCCTACTATATTCATTGAATGCAGATTTCTACTAACTATTCACTTTTGATACTGTTAGCTGATCATTTGAAAATTGAGAGTACTTCAAACTACATAACTTCTAGGGATGTGATATAGTGGTGGACTTGGCAGTGTTAGGTTTACGGTTGGACTTGATGATCTTAAAGGTCTTTTCCAATCTAAATGATTCTATGATTCTGTAACTTGTGTAATACATGTTCTTTCTACCATGGAATTTGTATAATAAAAAGCACATTTAAGTGCTGTGATTGAAATGACAATAAACTGGCACGTCCTTTACTATTCTCCAGACTGCCTAGAGACAGAACCTTAACTGAAAAAATAATCAGAAATAAAAAGAAAAACCTCCACTGATTCAGAAAATATTGCTTTTCTAAGAAATGCCTTTAAAGGCCATTTTGGTTTATGTATTGTGTGTAGGCATGTTTTGAAATGACTGATGGCAGACGTTCAGTCAAATCTCTATGCCAGAAAATATTCTACTTACCCTGGTACTTTAATTGAGCTTTACAGCGCTCCTGGATAAGAGTTGAACTACCTGGTCCTCTTCTATGTGTTTCTCTAGTGCTTTTTGACCAGGTGACAGAAATCTAAAAGTGACTCTAAACTGATCAAAATCATTAACATGATTTTGTAGGTTGATATACAACAACCTGAGATGCACAGAATCAACAAAGTGAAGCAGTATGTAAATAAAAGAGAAAAAAAAACCACAAAGTCATGGTTGGTGCTTTCTCATTGAATCAAGTTAAATTGTTTAAATTGTGTTTCTTTCAGGAATCCTATGTATGGAAAATGTATCAAGAACGGTGCTGGGAGTTTTTCCCTGCTGGTGATTGCTTCCGAAAACAATATGAAGACCAGCTTAACTAAGCAAAGATGGGGATTTCCAGATGAAAATATGTCCATGTATTTCCCAACTCTTTTGGGAATGTCTAACAGATTTCTTAAACTCCCAAAGCTGTGTGCTTTTTGGAGCACCAGAGCTCTGTTTTTAATGACCCAACTGCGCTTTTATTTTCTTGTACATTTGCTTTGAGAACACTGGAGTAAAGAACAATGAAAAATAACAGCAACTCTGGAAAACAAACCGACCACTTGCACACACAAAAGAGATCCCTATACATAACATGCACACATAAGAAGAGACTTGAGACTGCTTATTTCTGAAACTGCCAGATGATGCCCTTGTCTATGAGATCACACATGGGGTGACATGGTAGCAACACTCATTCAATCTGTTTATTTCATCATCCTGGAAGGAACTATATGTAGTTCGCAGAGCACTGTAAAAGATTGTTGTGGACACTAAGTTGTGGGGAAATAGTGCCTTACTATATGTGGGTTGAGCTATGCAGAAGATGAGTGCATGATGACATCATTTTTTTTCTTTTCTTTTCTTTATGTCTTCCCTTTCTTCCAAGTTAATATTTATTTTGTGGTTTTGGTGGGTTTGGGAGGAAGGGATTTGATTGTGCACATCTTTTTAATAAGACTGGAGTGTCTCAGGACAAGATTAGGTTATTCTCATCAAGTTCATTTCACATTTACCTTCCACTTTAGCTTTTGCTCTTATTTTGGTAATGCTCTGATACAACACTGCAACTTTATGAAATCTTTGTATGAAAACAAGACGACTGCAAAAAACACTTTAACAAGAAATGTTTCATTGCATGTTTATTATGCAAGTTTAAAACAATCAAAAAAACAACCTTCAGAAGCAAGTTGATCAACATGAAAAAACATTCACAATAATTATATCCATAGTAATAAAGTGTTGTGGGCTTTATTGTACATCTGGAACAAGTGTCATCAGCCAACAATGTATATGTTATGAATTTGACAGTAGTTTTGGTTTCTTTTCTTTTTCTTTCTTTCATTTCTACCACCTGTGATCGGTAGTGGAGTTGAAGATTTTCTTGTTAAATTATTTTTTAAAAGCAAAGCTGAAGCAATATCCATTCAGGGACTCCATCAGTTGCATCATGAAACACCAATGATATGTACATCCCTCCATTTTGAGTCCTTTTCAATTGTAATGCCAGTCTTTACAAATAAAAAGAGAGATTCGGAATGGAAACAAGCTGATTTTGGTAGCATTTGTTGATTTCAGCAAGGAAATGAATGAATGGCAATGGAAAAGCAGAGTAAGATGAACGAGTAGTTGAGACATGATTTGTTTGTGGAAGTTGTTACCCATTTATATATTGTTCCACTTAGAATTGAGTTACCTGACATTTGTTATGCCTTCTTCCAACACTCTGTTCTTATGTCTTTCCTTTCCCTAAAACTTTGAAGCTTAAGTCTCTGGTTTTTACTGAGACAGCCAGAGAAAACAGAAGACAAGAAAAGAATGCTGTAATATCCCTGGCCTGTGCGTTACTACAAGACTGATGCCTTCATCTTGGCCACTAATGTGCTGTTGAAGTTGAATATTTGCATTTGTAGTATCTTCCTACTGTTACAGGACTCTTACTAATGAATGATAGCGTTGCACTTATGAATTGCATTAATGTTTCATTAACTAATTTGATAACATTCCTACCATCTTTAGAGGCACTGAATAATTCCCTTTACTTACACGATTACCTGTAAGGTATTCACAGGAGGTAATATTTTCCGGTTTTTTATTATTTTCTAAAGTAGAGCGTGTATTAATTTGTTTTGTTCAGAAACCAAAACAAATATAACTGGTATCCAGAACAGTCTCTGTCAAAGGATAAGGCTGTCACAGAGAGCATGGGTGGCTGTGTTCTTTCATTAAATCTGTCTAATATTTATGCTCATAAATGTTGCTCCTTCCATCTCTCTTCTTAAGTCATAACCACTTTTATTTGTTTATTTGTTTGCTTCTTTTTCAATTTTCTTCAGCTTTTCTAAAGCCATGCTGAACCATAAAGACTTGGTTGCAAATAGAATTTCATATTATATCATCTTACAGTCACTTCTTACTCAAGATCTACAAGATATTTAAGCACAAATATCCATTTATAGGTGAGCTTGTTTTTTTGCAGCTGCCTCGTTTCTCTTTTTTTTTTTTTTTTTGAAGGCCCTTTTTATGTGTTTTCTGGATTAGGGTTTTCTCTGTCATCTGCATAGTGTTTTAACTGTACCTATGCAATTTCTTCTATCTAGTTTTCTTCACAATTATCTTCTTGTTTGTTTGGATATTCATTTAGGCAAAAAGATGTGTCTCTCTTAGGTGGTAAAGACCCTTCTCTCAGCAGTTGTTGAAGATTTCTGGCAGCCAAAGAGCATCATTCTGCCCTGCCAATGGAGGTCAAGAGTTGAGGCAATTTTTTATGTGAACAGCTTGCTTTTGTAATAACATAGCCATGGGCTGATCTGCAGTTACAAAAGTTTGACCTATGAATTTTGGTGTTGGATGGAAAGATCTGAGCTAAAGTTCTCCTGAAAAAAAGTTTTGAAATTTCTGAAATGTAAGGGGAAAAAGCTCCAAAATCTGCAATTACAACAAACTGAGGTCTTTGCTACCGATCCACTGTGTAAATGCTCCAAGTTTGCATGCGAGTTGCTCTGTTGCTTAGTAGAAATTGCAGTTATATAGACTAAATACCTCTCTCTTAGATATTCGTTAAATAAGGACCTTTGGAACATTGAAAAGTGGCTAAATAATGCTGAATCATTGGTTTTGATTAATTGTTCTATGCGTAGTGCTAGTAGGATAGAAGGAAACTGCATGAGTTGAATGCATTGAAAAAAATAGAACCACCCAGGGAGAATTAGAACATGGAAAGTCCTGAAGTAAAAGAAAAAGTGAGTAAATTAAAAAAAAAAAATAGCATGAGAAATAATGAATATGAAAGAAAGGTATTTCGTTTGTGTGTTGGGAAGTGGGATTTCATCATGAAACATTTGATGAACTCCGCTTCTGTTCTGACTGTTGTGATGGAACTTCTGTATTTCCTGTTAAACTCTTAAGAACACTAAGTATTTTTCTGCGATACTAGATGATGTCTAGAAAATACATGGATAACAAGCTTTTCTAAAAATAGCTTTATAATTGAAAAATGTTGAAAACTAGAATTTTTATGAAGCAATGTTTTTTGGGTTTAGGTAACTATAGGTTCATTTTTAAGGTTTTTGTGATTTATTTTAAAATGTTTTTGTGCTATAAGTGAGCTTCAGGATCCAAACCAAGAATTAATGTTTTATGGTGTCAGCTGCCATACCTATTTGTAACAAAACTATGGTCTCTAGCCTTAAAGAGCTGAAAGCCTGAGCAAAAGACGAGATAATACATAGATTCAGTATATGGACAGGAGAGGTCAAGTTTACAGTAGGATAATATCACAAACAGAATAGGTAGTGGTGAAAATTCCATCAGCTCCCTACTTACTAGGTTATCTGCGAGCAACATAACCGAGAAGAAAAAAAAATTGTAGGAGAAGTCAGTTGGCCTTATGCATAGCAAGCTTTTTGGAAGTATATTCCTTTTTTCTGTTGGTTTTTTTTTTTGCCTCCAGTAAATTACTGCTGCATAAAATCCCCTAAGCTCTGTTTCATTACAAATATTTTATTTCATTTTTAATCAATAGTCACTTAGTGTATGAGATTTAGAAAATATGCTTGCTTTTATTCCTTGGAAAACATTAGCATTTTTGTAGCTTGCAGTGTTTGAATTTCAGATGAAGGTGCATGTTTCAAGTGTTTCTCCAGTCTGTGTCTTTGAAGGCAAAAATATCCTGCCATTTAACCGCTCTGCGTTCATGAGCAAAAGAAGTACCTGACTAGCACTAGCATCTTTCCCGCTTCTGGCTCAACTTCTGAGATATGTTAGAGCAATGCTATGAATTGCTTTAAAATGAGGTATTGGGCATTAACCCAGATTAACCCAACACTCCCTTCTCTCTGCACAATTGCTATGCTAAAGTCTTGTGATTCTTGAAGCTTCATCTTCTGTAACACATCGTGGCAGAAGGTAGAATTCAGCAAAGTATGAGGGTTTTATTACTTCAGCATGTGATAATTCTGTCAATAGGCCTGAAGGTTTTGTAAAGAAAATGCAGCAATGTGAAAGCTTCTGAGAACTGACTTCATGGTGTTGCAGTTAAGTAGGCATTGTAATAAAAGTTGGATAATTTGATTTTTGAGTGTTTATAAAATGTTACTATGATAAAGTAGATAGTGAAGTTAGATAATATCTTTAAGGAGGTCCTAGTAAGTGGACACCCTGTATCCTACGAAGACATCACAGTTGTTTTGCTTCCTGCAGCTTAAGGAATAGAAAAATGAAATGAAAAGGCTCGAAATTGTTTTAAATCTTGCAAAAACTACTAGTGAATAAAACATGATGTGAGCGAAATGGAAGAAGTAAAGGTTCATGAACTGTTGTTACATTTCTTTGGAGATTAATAAATCGGAGTAATTGTGAAGAAAGTATTATTCTCAGCTTTGAGCCGTACTGTGCCCATCGTGCCGAGCAGCAGGAAGGCAGCAGAATGGATGACATCTGGCTTCAACCGTGGCATCCCGTGAGGCAGCTGTAGCGTGTCCAAGCTCGGCTGAGTGCATCCAATTCTGAAGGAGTCCCTTCCCCATCTACCTCGGTGCCAGGGAAGGATGACAACGGACCATCTGTCTTTTCTCCGTTGGCATTATTGGCTCTGTCCTCTGGCAGCAGACTGTGTACCGCTGTAACTGCTGATACGTGGACACTTCCTCGTAAGAAGAAAGGAAAGTGAAATTAATTAGGCAGCTGCTCAGTGCTGACAACAAGGCATATCCTTTTATCATGTGGTCCATCCTAATGGAAGGAAAGAAGTATATCCACTGACTAGGGAATAAACTAGTAATATGACTGGACCATATAGCACGCAGTTGATTTCTGACTCTGTCCAAGGAGGAGAAGATTTCCGGCACTAAGTAAAATATTGTGGACATTTTAGGTATCTGCAATCTGTATTAGAATAAGCGACTTCATAGATTTGATGTAACTGCTGAGCTATTTTTAAGTGCCTCACAGTGTTATCCTAAAGTGTTAACAAACCAAGTTGTTGTTATTGGATATAATGTTAAAACCCAAGACTCAGTATAGTTCCTAGCTATTTAAAAAGATTACTGTCCTTGATGCTTATCTATGTGCCCTGCTTTAAGACAATTCAAGTGAGAGGTAAAATGATTATTTATCTTTCTCTGGAGCACAATGCTTTAGAAAACAGTGGTTTATAGTGTTCTGTGCACATCTGGAAAAGCAGTGTTTAAATAGATGTGGCAGAATGGAATGAGCTTGGGACAGGAAAAATAGACACTGAATTTCTTTTCTTCACTGGTTTTTTATGCTTGCATATATGTAGAACTAATAATAATCTAAATATAAGAATGTAAAGATAGATCCTTCATCTCAGAATTTGCCTGTCTCTGGCTCAACCTCCATCATTCTTGACTGTAATGAGGCAAATTTGCTTTCTATTTGCT